AAATGGTATAAAATTCTCAAATCGGACATTATTTGGCCGAGATATTCCAAAAAATCATCAAAAAAGGTTGACTTTACAAACGAATCGGTTTTTGGTCAACCACTTTTTTTTACCGATCGATTTTTAAAATGTTTGAATGCCAATTGATAGTAGGGATCCCTACGAATTCAAAAAGGTATAACATTTAAATCTGACAATATTTACCCGAGATATTCAACAAAAATCATCAAAAAAGTTTCGATTTTCGAACCACCCGATTTTAGAAAAAACGTGATGTAACCCCTTGCCATTTTGTTGATTTTGGTCAAAATTTAGATTATTTTTTGATGCCAATCGATAGTACTGATCCTTACGAGTACAAAATGGTATAAAATTCTCAAATCGGACATTATTTGGCCGGGATATTCCAAAAAATCATCAAGAAAGGTTGACTTTACAAACGTATCGGTTTTTGGTCAACCACTTTTTTTACCGATCGATTTTTAAAATGTTTGAATGCCAATTGATAGTAGGGATCCCTACGAATTCAAAAAGGTATAACATTTTAAAATCTGACAATATTTACCCGAGATATTCAACAAAAATCATCAAAAAAGTTTCGACTTTTCGAACCGACACCGATTTTTAGAAAAAACGTGATGTAACCCCTTGCCATTTTGTTGATTTTGGTCAAAATTTAGATTTTTATTTTTTTGATGCCAATCGATAGTACTGATCCTTACGAGTACAAAATGGTATAAAATTCTCAAATCGGACATTATTTGGCCGGGATATTCCAAAAAATCATCAAAAAAGGTTGACTTTACAAACGAATCGGTTTTTGGTCAACCACTTTTTTTACCGATCGATTTTTAAAATGTTTGAATGCCAATTGATAGTGGGATCCCTACGAATTCAAAAAGGTATAACATTTTAAATCTGACAATATTTACCCGAGATATTCAACAAAAATCATCAAAAAAGTTTCGATTTTCGAAACACCGATTTTTAGAAAAAACGTGATGTAACCCCTTGCCATTTTGTTGATTTTGGTCAAAATTTAGATTTTTATTTTTTTGATGCCAATCGATAGTACTGATCCTTACGAGTAAAAATGGTATAAAATTCTCAAATCGGACATTATTTGGCCGGGATATTCCAAAAAATCATCAAAAAAGGTTGACTTTACAAACGAATCGGTTTTTGGTCAACCACTTTTTTTTACCGATCGATTTTTAAAATGTTTGAATGCCAATTGATAGTAGGGATCCCTACGAATTCAAAAAGGTATAACATTTTAAAATCTGACAATATTTACCCGAGATATTCAACAAAAATCATCAAAAAAGTTTCGCTTTTCGAACCGACACCGATTTTTAGAAAAAACGTGATGTAACCCCTTGCCATTTTGTTGATTTTGGTCAAAATTTAGATTTTTATTTTTTTGATGCCAATCGATAGTACTGATCCTTACGAGTACAAAATGGTATAAAATTCTCAAATCGGACATTATTTGGCCGGGATATTCCAAAAAATCATCAAGAAAGGTTGACTTTACAAACGAATCGGTTTTTGGTCAACCACTTTTTTTCACCGATCGATTTTTAAAATGTTTGAATGCCAATTGATAGTAGGGATCCCTACGAATTCAAAAAGGTATAACATTTTAAAATCTGACAATATTTACCCGAGATATTCAACAAAAATCATCAAAAAAGTTTCGATTTTCGAACCGACACCGATTTTTAGAAAAAACGTGATGTAACCCCTTGCCATTTTGTTGATTTTGGTCAAAATTTAGATTTTTATTTTTTTGATGCCAATCGATAGTACTGATCCTTACGAGTACAAAATGGTATAAAATTCTCAAATCGGACATTATTTGGCCGGGATATTCCAAAAAATCATCAAAAAAGGTTGACTTTACAAACGAATCGGTTTTTGGTCAACCACTTTTTTTTACCGATCGATTTTTAAAATGTTTGAATGCCAATTGATAGTAGGGATCCCTACGAATTCAAAAAGGTATAACATTTTAAAATCTGACAATATTTACCCGAGATATTCAACAAAAATCATCAAAAAAGTTTCGATTTTCGAACCGACACCGATTTTTAGAAAAAACGTGATGTAACCCCTTGCCATTTTGTTGATTTTGGTCAAAATTTAGATTTTTATTTTTTTGATGCCAATCGATAGTACTGATCCTTACGAGTACAAAATGGTATAAAATTCTCAAATCGGACATTATTTGGCCGGGATATTCCATTATTGCTTAGATCTTTGGTCAACATTTTTTTTAAAATTTGTTTGAATGCCAATTGATAGTAGGGATCCCTACGAATTCAAAAAGGTATAACATTTTAAAATCTGACAATATTTACCCGAGATATTCAACAAAAATCATCAAAAAAGTTTCGATTTTCGAACCAACCCCGATTTTTAGAAAAAACGTGATGTAACCCCTTGCCATTTTGTTGATTTTGGTCAAAATTTAGATTTTTATTTTTATGATGCCAATCGATAGTACTGATCCTTACGAGTACAAAATGGTATAAAATTCTCAAATCGGACATTATTTGGCCGAGATATTCCAAAAAATCATCAAAAAAGGTTGACTTTACAAACGAATCGGTTTTTGGTCAACCACTTTTTTTTACCATCGATTTTCAAAAAGTTTGAATGCCATTTGATAGAAGGGATCCCTACGAATTCAAAAAGGTATAACATTTTAAAATCTGACAATATTTACCCGAGATATTCAACAAAAATCATCAAAAAAGTTTCGCTTTTCGAAACCGACGACCGATTATTTAGGAAACAAACGTGATGTAACCCTTCCATTGGTTGATTTTGGTCAAATTTTTTTTATTTTTTTGATGCCAATTGATAGTAGGGATCCTACGAATTAAAAAGGTATAACATTTAAAATCGGACATATTTACCCGAGATATTCAAAAAAATCATCAAAAAAGTTTGACTTTACAAACGTATCGGTTTTTGGTCAACCACTTTTTTTTACCGATCGATTTTTAAAATGTTTGAATGCCAATTGATAGTAGGGATCCCTACGAATTCAAAAAGGTATAACATTTTAAAATCTGACAATATTTACCCGAGATATTCAACAAAAATCATCAAAAAAGTTTAGATTTTCGAACCGACATTGATTTTTAGAAAAAACGTGATGTAACCCCTTGCCATTTTGTTGATTTTGGTCAAAATTTAGATTTTTATTTTTTTGATGCCAATCGATAGTACTGATCCTTACGAGTATAAAATGGTATAAAATTCTCAAATCGGACATTATTTGGCCGGGATATTCCAAAAAATCATCAAAAAAGGTTGACTTTACAAACGAATCGGTTTTTGGTCAACCACTTTTTTTTACACATCGATTTTCAAAAAGTTTAGATTTTTATTTTTTTGATGCCAATCGATAGTACTGATCCTTACGAGTACAAAATGGTATAAAATTCTCAAATCTGACATTATTTGGCCGGGATATTCCAAAAAATCATCAAAAAAGGTTGACTTTACAAACGAATCGGTTTTTGGTCAACCACTTTTTTTTACCGATCGATTTTAAAAATGTTTTAATGCTTATTGATAGTAGGGATCCCTACGAATTCAAAAAGGTATAACATTTCAAAATCTGACAATATTTACCCGAGATATTCAACAAAAATCATCAAAAAAGTTTCGATTTTCGAACCAACCCCGATTTTTAGAAAAAACGTGATGTAACCCCTTGCCATTTTGTTGATTTTGGTCAAAATTTAGATTTTTATTTTTATGATGCCAATCGATAGTACTGATCCTTACGAGTACAAAATGGTATAAAATGCTCAAATCGGACATTATTTGGCCGAGATATTCCAAAAAATCATCAAAAAAGGTTGACTTTACAAACGAATCGGTTTTTGGTCAACCACTTTTTTTTAACGATCGATTTTTAAAATGTTTGAATGCCAATTGATAGTAGGGATCCCTACGAATTCAAAAAGGTATAACATTTTAAAATCTGACAATATTTACCCGAGATATTCAACAAAAATCATCAAAAAAGTTTCGATTTTCGAACCAACCCCGATTTTTAGAAAAAACGTGATGTAACCCCTTGCCATTTTGTTGATTTTGGTCAAAATTTAGATTTTTATTTTTATGATGCCAATCGATAGTACTGATCCTTACGAGTACAAAATGGTATAAAATTCTCAAATCGGACATTATTTGGCCGAGATATTCCAAAAAATCATCAAAAAAGGTTGACTTTACAAACGAATCGGTTTTTGGTCAACCACTTTTTTTTACCAATCGATTTTTAAAATGTTTGAATGCTTATTGATAGTAGGGATCCCTACGAATTCAAAAAGGTATAACATTTTAAAATCTGACAATATTTACCCGAGATATTCAACAAAAATCATCAAAAAAGTTTCGATTTTCGAACCGACACCGATTTTTAGAAAAAACGTGATGTAACCCCTTGCCATTTTGTTGATTTTGGTCAAAATTTAGATTTTTATTTTTATGATGCCAATCGATAGTACTGATCCTTACGAGTACAAAATGGTATAAAATGCTCAAATCGGACATTATTTGGCCGAGATATTCCAAAAAATCATCAAAAAAGGTTGACTTTACAAACGAATCGGTTTTTGGTCAACCACTTTTTTTTACCAATCGATTTTTAAAATGTTTGAATGCTTATTGATAGTAGGGATCCCTACGAATTCAAAAAGGTATAACATTTTAAAATCTGACAATATTTACCCGAGATATTCAACAAAAATCATCAAAAAAGTTTCGATTTTCGAACCGACACCGATTTTTAGAAAAAACGTGATGTAACCCCTTGCCATTTTGTTGATTTTGGTCAAAATTTAGATTTTTATTTTTTTGATGCCAATCGATAGTACTGATCCTTACGAGTACAAAATGGTATAAAAAATGGTATATCAAATCGGACATTATTTGGCCGAGATATTAAAAAAATGGCCAAATGTGTTGACTTCTTCGGAAATTACCTGAATTAGAGATTTAACAATTCAAAATATTCAGTGCTTTATTACAATATCTGTATATTTTGAACAGTATATAATGTTTTATGAGCTTGATAATATATTTATTAAACTTGGACTTATCTGATTGTGATTTGGTAAAGGTGTCATTTATCACATTACAATAATTGCATTATTAAATATGTATGTAACTTCCCATATCCCTGGCTTACCAGACACTCTTATAGCCATAGCCATAGTTATAGCCGGGATAGTAGCCATAAGGATAGCTGTAGCTGGGATAGGTGTAGGTGGGATAGCCGCCACTATATTTGTAGTAGGTGTTGGGATAAGGCGTCCAAGCTGGCCAAGCTGTAGCCGTCGTCGGCACATAGAGGCCATTGTAGTTGCGGGCCACAAACTGATGGCTCCCAGCCACAGGCACCAGGGCGGGCCCTTGAATGGCTACTCCCGTGCTGGCAGGTATAACGCTGGCCTGGCACAGTCCGAAGGCCAGCAGCAGGCAACTGATGATGAGCTGCCATCGAGGCATTGCCTGTTAGTTTCACTAAAGGAACATTTGTTTGTACAGCTTACCAGCTTCATGTTGGGGTGAGTCTGAGAGAGGATGCGCCTTTGCCGCTGGCTAGCTGGTCACTGTTCAATTTTGTCGCCTGCCCAGCTAATTATATACCCTGTCATTCATCTATTTCACTGCATTTGCTTTTCAAATGCAGCCACCCGTTTTGGAGGGTTCCCCCTATTTGGAGCGTGTGCCTGCCCATTTGAGCGCTGGAACCGAGTGTGCAGCTCAAGGGCAGCTCATTTGCATTGCTCAAGCTTGGCCCGTTGACGCAAGACACTTCTTCTGGGCTCGCTATATATAAGGCAAATCGCATTATATACATGCCAACAAAGTATTTTGTCACTATCTCATCAAATCGTCACACTTCTTCAAACATATACACAATTACAGGTCAATAAGGGCAAGAAATTCAAAAAATTATAATTGAATTAAATATTTTGCCCAAAACTGACAAAAAACAGAATATTTGCCAACTGAGACGGTTCGAAAATCAAAACTTTTTTGATGATTTGTTTGTCATACCTCGGGTAAAAATAGTCCTCTTTAGACTTGCACGGATACCTTCTGTCGATTCGGTATCCATCATATCCAAATCTCAAGAGTTTACATCAGACTTTTTGTCTAATTTTGGAATAATATTGTTACTTTTTTTAGTACCAATCGATAATCGTCATCTTTTTAGGTCTTAAAAAGTCACCATATGTTTTTTTAACTTAAATTTCACTTCTAATTCTTTTAAAATTGGGAAGAACCAATTGATTGGTTTGAGATGGTAGTTGGTTCAAACAGGAGTGTAGCCACCGGCAATTGTTTGTTAATTTAAAGCCATGATATGTATACACATGTAAATTGGGATAATTTATTTCCTACATCGAGATTCACGACACATCTAATCTATAATTTAAATCTGTTTCCAGTGCGGCCAGGTCTTGATCTCGTTGTAGAGCGCCGTGCCGGGGCAGGCGGTTGCCTTGGTCTGTCGATGGCCCAGCAGAGTGTAGTCGTTCTTTAGGTGGCCGCCCTGTTTGGCCAGTTCAATCAAATCCTTGGCGTTCTGCAGCATCTGTGCCGAGGGCGCGCTGCTCTCAAAGTTGCCCAGAAATACGATGCCAATGCTCTTGCGATTGTAGCCGGGCGCATGGGAGCCCTGCAGTCCAAAGCCGCGACCCTCGTACACCTTGCCATCGCCGGCAACAATGAAATTGTAGCCAATGTCGCTGAAGCTGCGTCTGCCCTTGTGATCCGACTGTATGTTCTTAATCAGGCGCTGGCACTGCTGTGACGTGCTGCATCCATTGGGATTATCCGAGTGGTGGATGATCACATATTCCACGGCGCCGTTTACACGTGAGGGCGATCGGGCACTCACAGCACCCCAACTGCTACGGGGTTCAATGGTCAACGCCTGCGTCGTTGCGGGCAGCGCTGTGTTAAAGATTGGGATGATTAGTGCCAGTTCTATAAGTTGACAATTTAGTTGATTAATTACCAATGGCGCAAAGCGCTGCAATCGCCAGAAACCTGAATGCTGCTGTGTTCATCGCTTGCCGTTTCACTTTTGAGATTTACTCTGCTAAACGAGCTGTTTAAATAGCCCGATAAGGCGGGGCAATTGCCACTAGATGGTTGGGGTATGCTCATTTGCTTAACCGGCTTGTAACAATTATTATAAATAAATAAAAAGTATAAGTAAGCATCTCAAAACTCCTGTTTAAATAAATTGCTCTGAATAAAATGAGCTTCTCGTTACAGTTCTATTTTCAGTGCATAAATCAGGACATATTTAAATGAAGCATCGCTTTAAAAAGAGTATACAAAATTCGACAATGCTGAGACATATTTCTTATATGCTCTCGGTGATGTACCCGTGGGGGAATCACTTGGCCTTGCTAGTGATAAGACAAAATAAACAATTACGCCCATACATAATATATTTCTATATATTTCAACTTTTAGCTATATATATTTATTGAACATTGTCAGTGTCGCAGGTGTTTACCCAAGTCCCGCATATCCCGTTTACTGTTTGATAGGTTCGCGTTTTTGCTTAGCGCGCTTTTCGGGCTTTGGCTTGTCTTCATTTTTCGCCTTTGGAGGCTTCGCATCAGGCAGAGCTTGGACGCCCACCTTGAGCTGCAGCTTCTCCATGAGCGTCAACGGTTTATCAGAATTCTTGTGCACAATCGCTTTGCGTGTCAGGCGCAGCTTCTGCAGCTTTTTCTCGGACTTCTGTTTCTCTTGACGCAGACGCAGCTTCTCCAGAGCACTCTTGTAAATGTTCGCATGCTCCGCTTCAATGTCCGGAGAGACGGTTATCTCCTCGCCCATCGATTTGCCCACCTCGTAGAGCATTTTTTTGAATTGCGCCTGATCCTTGTCCGTGAGCAGAGTTATGGCTGTGCCTTTGTGGCCAGCGCGCGCCGTGCGGCCCACGCGATGTATGTATGTTTTGATGTGACGCGGCGCCTCATAGGACACCACAATATCCACATTTGGCACATCAATACCGCGCGCCAGCGCATCAGAGCAGATCAGGCCATGAATATTGCCACGCGCGAAATCTGTAAGACGTTTGGCGCGCATTGCCGTCGACATTTTCGCGGAGAGCTCTTCTACCTTGGTGGGCGACCCCTCGAATAAATGCTGGAGCACAAAGGCCAGACGATTGGCTGTGTCGGCGCTGTTGGTGAAGCACAGGAACCGCTTCCAGCCATTTAGAAGCACCATGGCGTACAATGTGAGCGGCTTCAGGCGCATTTCCGTCAGGCAGTACTGCTCCGTCAATTCCGCCGGCGTGGTGTACTTTCCAATAAATTGACTGCTCTGCTCTACGCCCTGTTCGGGCAGCTCGGCGTTGCCTGGGGCTGGCTGCAGAACTGGCATTGTCAGCACTGTGGTAAATAGTTTGGGCTGAAACAGGCGCAAATTTTGCAGCTTTTCGGGATCTTGCGAGAGTGTGGCCGAGAAGAGCAGCTTGTGCGGCTGCTTGCCATAGCTGTTGAGAAGCTCCTGATAACAGAGTGGTGCCTGCACGCCCGTGAGCAGCTGATCAGTCGTCGTACGCACATGCGTGTCCAAGTGATAGAGCCAGTTCTGGAAGACAGCGTCCATTATACGATCCGCCTCGTCGATGACCAGGAACTGTAGCGACTTCAGGCAGAAGCCCTTGGTGGCATGTAAATGGTCCACAAGACGGCCTGAAAGTATCAAATAAGAATTAGAGAGTCATTCAATTAGCAAAGATAACCGCTTACCTGGCGTAGTGATTACAATGTCCACCTTGGAGTAGTAGACACCCTTATACTGCTCCAGCAGCTTCTCCTGCTCCTCCTCTAGACGATGCTGCTTGGAGAGCAGGCACACCTCCAGCTCTGTCTTGCTGCACAGTGCGCTGAACACCTTGTACACCTGTAGCGCCAACTCAGCAACCGGCAGCACCACCAAAGCGCGCACTTTGCACTGTACGCGCTTGGCCAACAGCTGAACAATGGGTATGGCAAAAGCCAATGTCTTGCCGCTGCCTGTGGGTGCCGAGACGCAGATATCCCGCGGTCGAAATGGCTCCGGCTTGGCCTGCGCCTCTAGTATCCAGGGTATAACGACGGTTTGGACAGGAAACAGTCGCTTGATCTTCATTTGCTTAAGCACACTGCATGTGTTCTTCTCCAGGTAGGGCAGCTGTTTGATGGATGCCACGTCCGTCTCGGCATTGGGACTGTCTTCTGGGTCGAGGCTACCTCCTTCGATGATTGTTGGATGTGCCAGCCAAGCGGGTAAAACCATTTCTACTTTTTGCCGCTTGGCCGCCGACGCATCTGCGCCAAGCACTTGGAAATCATTTGAAGCCTCTGTTTCCGTGGGCTCGGTTGGTTGGTCTGGCTTTGGCTCTGCTTCATTATCTGGCTTCACAGGTGCATCTTCATCTTTTGCTGGCTGCTCAGCAGCAGGCACTGTCTCTGGCTTTGTTATTGTCGAATCGCTGCTTTTGTGTTTCCTTTTGCGTTTTTCTGCTTTCTGCAGCAGCTTCTGTAAAATTGCATCCTCGCTTGTGGCTTCGCCACTGTCTTTTGTGCCTTTGTTTTGATCCTCGGTATAGCTGTTGGTTTATTAATAAATTAATAAATGTGTACCGTAAGCTAGGTATTCTAATTACCGATTTACTGTGAATAATTCCATTTTAAAACACAATTTTGTAAAAGCCGCGCACGTGTTGCCAGTTGTTTACGTTTCTGCAATGCAAAGCATCGATGCCTTTATCGATATATCAAGGAACACCACTGTCATCGATACTTTGATTGGCATATCGATATATCGTATACGGTAAGCATTTTAAGCGCGCAATTTGAATATGATACAGAGCAAAGGGAAAGCCACACCTTACTTGCGGTTTAGAACAAGAAATGTTTACAGTTTTTTTTATAGAGTAACATCTACCTTAATTAACCAATTTGTCAACGGAAATACATTTGAAATGAGTGCATATGCAAAACTGCAGGGGATTTTTATTTCCCTTTTCCACGGTTGACGTCTTAACTGCGTTGATGCGTGTACATTACTAACTGCCTCGAGTTCTACGCTCTGTGGATTTTTTGCCAATTATGACTCATTTAAGCCAGCGTCTACTCTGATTCGCCTTTACGTGCGTATTAAAACACAAACGTCTTTTGCCACTTAAGCAAATGGTAGTTCGCATAGCGAAACCGGTTAGATGCGTTTGGTAGTATCACTGAAGACTTGGCTAGGCTAAATAATCATTTATCATTACAGCAGGTTTCAAATGAATATTCAAATTCTATGCAAATCAGAGAAATTTTAAATTATTCACATGCTTACACATATGTTTTACCACCGAGAGGAAGATTTTTAATTGAAATCAATTTTCGAAATGAAATATGGTTGCACTTTTTGCCGGGCAACTGGAAAAAGTGGGTAGCTTAAAATATTATTTAAATGCTTTAGTACGACATGGAATCGACGACAATAAAAAGCCAAGCTCAAATTATTTAATACTTAAACAAATTGCGGTCATAAAAAAGCCACAAAGTGCGTTATTTTTAGTAACAACAGAAACAAAATAATATAGTTGCGGTGTGTTTTTTGGTTCATTCGCATGGACTTGAGCTTAAGCTGATTTGGGGAAAAGCCCAGCCAGACGGGTTCTTTGTTTAGCAGAGTTTTGCAGTTTCAGGACGGATGATTAATGGACTGTCTACTTTTATTGATTCGGTTTGTTTTCTTCTTGTAAACGATAAGAATACTCACGGATACTCCGCTATCGCGGCGTGAATGCAATACTGAAGGAAATATGTTGATTGAATTGTTTTCCAACATGTTTTCTCGCTCACACGCATGCTCTATATCTTTGTTATCATGCCAACTTGTTGGTATCTGCACTTGTTTAAACAGAAATCTGTTTTCGTATGCCTTAAACGAGATAAAAAACAAAAAAATAATATTTCACCTGAAAATTGAGAACACGTGAAAACTTTTGCAAAGTTTATTAGAATAACATTAAGTTCTAGGCTTCGGCTATTCCATATTCAAATCGGGTTTGAAAATCCAGCACTCAATCTAAATTAATAATGTATTAAGTATAAACTAATTTATTATTATATATTTATTTATATATTTCCCATTAGGCGGCTGCATGCGAAAATAATGAAAAAACCAGATGATGACAAATTTAAATAATTCCTATGGAAACGTAACGCCCATTGCGTGGAGCGTCATAACGGGGATTTCTCGCTCATCCCAATACGCCGTGCTACGACCGGCAAAATTAAACTCGACTAAAAACAATAACAATAACACTAGCGACAACCACACGAATGACAACAACAACAACAACACACACACACACACAGCAGGTAGCACACCTGTTGACGCTGAGCACAACTCGTTCGGAGGTGAGTTTTGACGCGTTCGGCGTTTTTTATCTGGGGGGTTCTCATTGAGCGATCGCAACGCTTTAAAATGCTAGGATATAAAAGCAGCCGCACTCATTTGTAAGCGTTTCGCGTTCGAGCTCAAGACACTCGCGAACACAAGTACTAAAAATCGCTCGCAAAACGCGCGAAAACTGCCAACAATAAGAAGTCAACGATTTAAATCGCTGAAGTTAATGAAGTTGTGCTAAGTGTCGCCGCAGGATTAAGTGTAGTGTGAAAAGGACTTAAAGTGACAAACAGAGTGACATTAAATAGACAAATACAAAATATATAGATATATATACATCAATTACCATGTGGCAAATGCTTTTAAAGATCGCGCTTCTCTCCCTGGCGCTGGAGCAGAGCAGTCGCTGTGGAGCCGCCGCGTAAGTCTATTAAATGAACCAATCCAGTCCACACCTGTTGGGATTATGTCCAAGTGCAATTTGAATCCGCCTTGATCTTGGCGTTTTCAACTTAATTGTGGATTTAAAGTGAGATCTTAGCCTCAAGTTTACGTGCCGAAATATGCTGTTTATCCACAACATCTCTCAAGTCATAATTGCATTTGTATAATGTAAATTGCAAAAACGAAAACTTGTCCGCACATTATTTAATCTACTCTGTTCACAAAGCTGAGAGAGTATATTGGTGCTTGGTTTATATATTTGTGTATAGCCTCTGTTAAATCTATATGGAATGGATATATCT